CCAGGTTCAAGCATGCATTCTTTCTTGCCTTCATAAATACTTTAGCTATTTTATCACAGATACAAAGCATGCCAAATGAAATTTACATAACAACTAGTTCACTACAGACTAAATTTAAACAGAGCTTTATAGTGATAAAATAGAAACAGATTATTTCAGTTTCTATGCCCCAAAAGGTGAACAACCCAACTTGCCAGTTATAATTTTTGAGCAAAAAATTATTTTCAAGAAATATGTTTCAGTGATTGATGTGCAATGATCTGAGGTGAAAGGAATTACTCGGCATAAATTATACATGACTACATTTAAGAAATTTTCGTGCTTATGACTCATACTCTTACATATTCTTTATTTCAGTTCTTGCTTACCAAGACTAATGCAGAAACCATTTCACTGACAGCATGTTGTCTTAAGCAGCCAGGGGAAACATTTGCATTAGGAAAAAGCAACAAGACAGAAAATAATTTAGATAACAGAAAAGACAAATGAAGGAAAGGCAAGGGTAAGAGTATAAACAACACTCCTTTTATACAGGCTTTTTGATTGCTTTTTCAATAAGAATGTCACAAATACAAAGTCAAATATTAAAATCATCCATTCAATAGAAGCTTTAGCATGAAAACAGTAAAATAGGAGTTCCTATGGACTAAAGTAATATAATAAAAATGTTGGTATTTAGAAAAGATTAATTTTTTTTAAATGTTGCAAAAACGTTTATCAGTGATGCAAACAGCCACTCTAAGAGCAAGGAACAATTTTGTTTAAGCAAATAGAAATCAATGCTAATAGGTAAACTTTACAAGACACTTAAAAAAGAGAAATATTATCTCTAAATTAAGGAGAATAAAACTATTCTACACTATTGAGTTAAATTCATTTTAACTTATTAAATTTCCATTCCTAGAGAGCCAGTTTCCTCCTGCACCTGCTAATTTGAAGAAAAGATCAAATGAAGACTTTGTTTACTTGTGCATGCAGAAGCTGAGATGAAAGTAAGGAGAAGAGCTGAAAAGAAAATGGGAGGATTGTTTGGTCTAAAAACTATCTTTCCAGGGGCCGGCAGGTGGCGTGGTGGTTAAGGGTGCTGGACTCCCACATGGCCGATTATGGTTTGTGCTCAAAATAATTATAAAAATTATAATAAAAATTATAATGATCTTACCAGTTTTACTTCAAAATTATATCCCACATCTAGGTACTTGTCTCCCTTCACCTTCTTCCTCCCTAGAACAGACCACCACAATCCCTCTGAGCAGGGCCACAACAGTTGCCTTCCTGATGGACCCTTTCACTGCTCTCATCCATTTACCAGACCCATTACAGACAGAGAATGACTTTTCAACAATGCACATAATCATCTCCTGGTTTAATATCTGTTGCCAACCACTTCCCTATGCTCATGGAATAAAATCCTAACTTTGCCATGGACCTCACACTCCCCTATCCCGGCTCCTACTAACCCCAAACTCTCCTCACTCATCTAAGCACCAGTCACACACTCTTATAATATATTTCCTAGAATGTACCAAAGTCTTTGCTCCTTCAGGAAGACTCCTCTTCCCATCTAGCCCATCCATATCTTTACCATGACAGGTTATTTCTCACCCATCAAGTTCCAGCCCAAATGAAATCTCCTCAAGGAGGCCTATCTTGATGACCACATTCAAGGTCACATTGCCCTCCTTATATCATCAACACTGTGATTCTTTCAGAGATCACTCAAAAATCTGTAATTTCTTTCTTTGATGATTTTCTTGACTTCTTCCCTCCCCCTTCTTAGCCATCTTACTATTTCAACTGAGGATCATGTGAGATCCATATCCTCTAATTTTCAATCATGACCAAAAACCCAGAGTTGAGCACAGTCATAGCATGCAGCAAGTACTGGACTAATCTGTTGAATGAGTGAACTTTCAAGAAATGGCCAAGCTAGAAAGAACAGTAGGCCATGAGATTGTAGTTTATTTTGGTTTGTTCATATTTTTTGTATGTACTCTGACCTGTAGGTAACAATAATTTCAATTTTCCATGGCAGAATCTCCTTTCAAAGATACATTCAAGTCTCTTATATCTTCTGAAGAAATGACTTCACACAGAAAACAAATCTCTGAATATAGCTATGTAAGCCCGTTTGCTTATTTTTATAGTTAGAAGTTGGTTACCATCTTCTCTAGAAAAATACTTCCTAAACATAACTAACTAAAATAGCCCATTAAAAGAACCCTTAGTTCTTTAAACTTTTAGTGCACTAAAATGATCACATTTATCTGAGTTATGCATATTAGACTTGACTCCCCTAATGTCTTTCCCTCCTTACCCAGGTTACATCCCACACACCATTATGAGTTTTCTTGTTAGTAGTATCTTTTCAAAATATGTCATCTTCCTCAAATTTAGGATGTCATTACTTTCAAGAAATATTGTTAACCTGTTATTTTATGTGTATCATTAAGACAGGAGCTTATGGGACCAGCAGTTAGCATAATGGCTATGTTGCTCAACTCCCATGTAGTCGACTGCGGTTAGAGTCCTGGACCTGGTGGCTTAAACGTACACCGGGCGCGTGTGCGTGCAAGCCCAAGATCCCAAGAGAAAAATGGAGGAGAATGGAGTGCGGCATGGCCATTCCCC